AGTATGTGCTCCAAATTTCAAGTCTCTAGCTTCAATAGCGCCGAAATAGATTGCGTTCATACGGACAGACGGACGGACAGCAAGACGGACATTGCACAAGCCCAATATACTCATTTCACTTTCGTGAACGGGTATAAACAACGATACATTAACATAAAAAAATCGACTTTATGCCAGAAAAAAAAAAAAAACTTAATCTGGACCATACTGCATTGGCAGGAATTCAAATTTCATAAATTGTTGCTCAGGCTTTAAGAACTTTAAGTTAATTAAACTCGAAACAACTGATAATTTATTTACTACCACGCTATATCTTTGATTTGTGCCGTATGTAACGAATAAATGGACATAATTAGATTGACTTATTTCATAGTTCTATGCAAGAAAATATAAACATGAATACAACATTCTATCCTCTTAAGTCATTTTCGATGGCTATGGAGTATAAGTAGTTAAAGATTTAAGTAAATGTAAGGAATTGTTGTCAGTAGAATTTTCTTCCCCATTGGTGAAATCAATAAGTCAGCCTCGCGAACTCAATTAGGCAAGATATGATTCCTTTCATCCAGTGTTTGTGAGGTAGTCGTCAGTTAATTTGTTACAAAGTAAGTCAGTTAACCATGCAGATCGGGGGAAGTCAATCAATCAAAATTACTATTTAATTGCTTTCAGCACTTACCACTCCATTTTGGACGCTGAAGCCGAGTTGATATTTGGTCTCGGGCCGCTTGATTTTGACCTCGACAACTGGTGCACAGGGCACAACTGTGAATTTGACAACGGTCTGATTTTTCGTATTCTTGATGTATGTTTGGCAGGTGGAGAGCGGCAGACCCACCAGGCTCAGTCCGTTGATGGCGATTAGTTGATCGCCGATATTCAATTGGCCACAACGTGCCGCAGCCCCAGAGCTCATTAGATTCGCAATGACGACTGTGGGAAGCATGGAGCCCCAGCCGCTTTCGACAATGACCACTCCGAGTATTTCGCCCTTGGCCTTGGGCACAACTACTTCCTTTTGTAGTTCTTTCTTTGCAAAAATCTCGAGCTCGTCACCAAAGATTTCCTGGCTGTTGAGCACTTCCTGGTAGTCCATTTCCTTAACAAACCGATGATCCTCAATGCCATTGGCCTTTAAGAACTCCATGTACGCCACCTGGAAGGCCTGCCCGATCGACTGCGCTATGAACTGCGCCTCGTCGCTCTCGAACACGTGGCATATCATTTTGGGAGTGCGATTTGGTTTCGGTGCATCATCAATATCCTGCGGCACGAAACGTCTACGCGCCATCAGCACGACCAAATCCCCAATGTCGGCTATATAGGAAATAGTGCGTAGCGCATGATCCATCATAATTTCCTTGAGATCGGTGTTTAGCACCATTATTTTTTCCGTCGATATGAACAAATCCACCTCTGTACTGGGCTGTACATCGCCATCGGGTGCCTGTTTAGAGCAGTTAATGAATATATACGTCAATTAAATCTCCATAAGCTTGTTTAATTTGGAGCAAATTAGATCACATATTCAGTTGATATAAGTTGTTCTTAACTAATACTTACAAGAGCCTATTGTATGCGATTTTTGTTCGATCATGGATGGCATAACGTGGGTTCGATTAGCAAATTCATCACATTCATAACGAGCAGATTGGATTGTTGTGTTGATGTAGATGGCGACAAATTGATACATGGAAAATAATAAAAAGTGATTATTATTTTTCATTTTGAAGTATCTCAAGCGATAGTTAACTCTGCAACATATGTACTATGAATAAGTAGCTAAATGTAAGTAAATAAATTTTTTTTTTTTCATAATCAACAATTTTATTGAGTTGGAATCTTAAGGCTTCAAAGCAACATTGACACAAACCAATATACCCATA